CCGCTCGCGGTCGATGGCCAGGGAACGCTCGTACGCGGAGTCCTGCTGTTCACGGAGGCTGCGTGAGGCTTGCTGTTCTGCCCGGGATGACCGTATGCGCTCGAGAGGCTCCTTGTGCTGCGAGATGGCCGATCGAAGTTTCTCCACAAATTCAGCAGGGGACGTTGTTCCCGATATCCTCGACACAACCGACATCGCATTCGAGGAAACGTTCGGAGTATGGACTAAAGCGGCTGCGAAGGGAAACTTGGTGCAGCGGAGGGAGTTGGCAACTTGATAAGCCTCAGAGTCTTGAACATTCCCTCCCCAGACAAGTAGGTTGTTTTGTGGGTCATTCACAAAGTCGGTCACTTCGCGAGACAGAAGTGTGTCTCGGACCCAGCCATTCGTATCATCATGCTCAGGGGCAAGAAGTACAACTAGGAGGAACTTGAGGTCCCGGTGGGCTTTCTCCAATGCCATGTTATATCCGTTCTCGAGGAAACTGATCGAGTTGGTGCCATATTCTTCCTCGAATTCCCGGATGAACCGGGCGGCCGTGTCTTTGGGACCCAAGGGCCGGCGACCGTTAGTATTTCTCCGGGAGCCTCGAAGAGCGGGATTCGCTGTCGTGTTAAAGAAGCGCGGAAGAAAGGGAAACAAGGCACCGAATAGGCGGAAGGAGCTGTAGAGTAGTCGATAGAGGAGGTTGAGCGGAGTAAACAGCAGAGCTAGTATGAAAGGCGGGCGATAGACCGACTGGTCTTCAGGCTGTGTATTTATCCGGGGAGCTGGCTCAGCAGCACGGGGAGTCGGAGTAAATTGCGCAGCAATGTCATCACTCATGAGGTTTTGGGTCTGTCGGGCGGGTCGCGGAGGAGGGGAGTTGAGAGCAGCGCGGGCTTCTTCGACGGGATCCGGCCCTTCGCCGTCAAAGAACTTGGAGATGGCAATCTGGAGGCAGCAAATGCTTAGTTCCCAAAGGCATCTAGAGGTAGTATGTCGTCATCCGGGCTTACCTGCACGTTCCATTGTGAGCGGCGCAACAAAGGAATGGCTTCCGAATGTTCCTGACCGGTGACCGCAGTATACGTCTCGAGAGCGGACCTCTCGCTGTCGGAGAGCTGGGATATATCAAGCCCGGAGGTGGACATGGTCAATTGATGATCTCATCCATGAACAGAATGGCTGGAAGAGGAGCAGCGAGGCCAGGAAAACTGGCGTGAGTGATGAGGTATAGATGGGCCGCGGGGAGTCGTGTGCGTCAGAATAGCCTAGCTCTCTGAAAGATATAGAGGGGAAGCTAATAACAGAAATAGTAGTGAGCCCCTAAAGAATGCTCAAGGCATGCAGAATACCGCCACAGATGCAAACCAGGCTGTAATTAAGGAAGATGGTAGGAAGGGGAAGTCGTGGGGAATGAACAATAGTAACTAGCTGGCCTCAGAAGGACAGCTCCGTCATGGCCGGTGGGAGCCACGCTAGACGCGCGCTTGACGCACGAGTGGTCCGTGCACGGGACGGAGTTCGACGCACTCCCGTCCAAGTTCCCCCTCCCACTCCTCCCCCCCCCGCGCCGCCCTTGGTTCGGATGCTGCCTTGCGGTCTTACTGCCTTGTCACCATCCATGGCATGAGATCTTCGTCCGTTCCTGTCTCCGGACGTTTATTCTCAATTGTTTTGGCTGTTCCCCCACCGTCTAACGCTCGAAAGGGCGCCCAATCTCGCCATCCCAGCCGTCCTTGGCTGTTGCGGAACATTTACCCTGCCATCAGTGAAACATCGCCTCGACAACGTCTCCGAGGGCATCTCGGATTGTCGAGCTAGTCTACGGGTCTTCTCCATAGAGGAATGTGGTTTCCTCTCGATATCTTAGGTCGCCCGATATTTCTTGACTCAATGGACATACCTGTCCGTTGATCCGCGCCCAACTGTGGATAACGAACTTATTATGGCTACCACGGGAAAGTCTGCAACGCTGGAAGACGCCCGTCGTGGTACGGGGTCTCCGAAGATGAAGGGACGAGGTTAGTTGGACTATTATTCAAATGTCGGCTTCGGTCAACAGACTATGATTCAATGCTCCCGTCGGCCTTTGCTTCTTTCGGCGGTATCAGCTAACATAGTCGTCATCCTGACCTTACAGAGAACGCCAAAGATACGCTGTGTCGCAACGTGACCATATATGGCCGATGTCGCTACGAAGATAAAGGTGCTTAGCCATTCCTTGCCTATTGTTCCTCTTCATGCTCGCTAGGATCCGTCTAACCGTCCGATTGCTTGTGAAGGGTGCGCCTTCAATCACGACCCGCATAAAGTGAATTCAGGATATCAATCAGACAGGTTGGCACTTCCGGGAGAGGCGCGCAATGTTGGAGTCAGAGAGGAGGATGACTTACTCATTTTGCAGTAATAAGAAACGTTTGAACGTCGACTCCCCTAGTTTTACCCCATCCATATTGTCGTCGAATGGATCATCGCCCACTTCCCAATCAGCAACCATGAAGAAGATGGCTACGATCTCGCCTAAGGCTGCGAGCGCAGCTCCCTTCCAACCTAGAAGTATATCATCACGTATGCCCTAAAGGTTTCCGGGATGCGAAGCGGAATCTGACTACAATCAGGATCCAACTCCAGCACCCCTACTACTCGCCCGGGTACAATGACCCCCGATTGGTCTGTGGCAGAGGTACAAGAATTTGTACCTCAGGGATTTGATACTGCACATATAGTAAGGCTGCCAGATCGAGGTGTCCCACGCAGGTCGACTGCTTCGCATGTCATTTGCTGTGGTCATCCTGCTCGAAGTGTACGTGCTTGCAATGCTAACTGGTTAGGGCTCCCTGCAAGGTAATGGGACTGCCGGTGTTCCCAGCACGAGCGCTTTCGACCCTTTTGTGACCACCCCGAATCCCCTCTCCGCAGCAAACGCCGTCGGCCCGGTGCAGGCCAATCCTTTCTCGCATGACACGGCTGCAGCGTTGAACGGAGCAGCGTTCTTCGCCAACCAGTCTGGATTCCAGCAGCCAGTAAGCCACTTCTTATTTGTGGTACGGAAATCATCCTAATCAAACGCTAGGTCCAATATCACATGTATGCCCCGATTGGGCCTCATAGTCAGAATACGTTAGGCTATCAGCGAAACGTACACGACCTTTTCCTCCCTAATGACCTACGGGAGGAAATGCAGAAGAAGGCAGCAGCCACGCTCCAGACACTGCCAAGTACGTTGCTGACATATGAGTGCGTTTGGTTGGCGTTGCTGACTTGATGTTAGATACTCAGCTCCCAGCTCAGGTCGATTACTTCCACTCTCTTGTCCCGCTCGATCTCAACCATCAGAAGAACGCTACCATCTTTGGCTTCCCCAGCTGGGTGTACAAAGCCCAGTCCAGTAAGGACGGAAACTTTTACGCTCTCCGGAGACTCGAGGGTACTGTAATTCTTTCCGTGCCATTATCAGGATACTAACTCGTATATAGGTTTCCGGTTGACGAACGAAAAGGCCATCCGCTCCGTGCAAGCTTGGAAGCGTGTCTGCAACGGTAGTGTCGTGACAGTCCACGATGCGTTTACTAGCCGAAGCTTTCAGGACAGCTCCTTGATCTTTGTCACCGACTATCACCCATTGTCGAAGACGCTAGCTGAACAGCACCTTGGCGCCGGAAACCGATTCCAAGGTCGCCATAACACGCACATCCCGGAACAGGTTCTCTGGGGTTACATGACTCAGATTGCCAATGCTCTGAAAGCGATTCATGCCAGTCAACTGGCTGCCAGGATCATTGACCCAAGCAAGATCCTTTTGACTGGGCGAAACCGCATTCGTCTCAACGCCTGCGCCATTATGGATGTGGTTCAATTCGACACTCAGCGATCTCTGGCCGAACTGCAGCGGCAGGATTTGGTCAACTTTGGACAGCTCATCGTCACCCTGGGCGCCAACCAGCCCAATGTGATGCACAACCCTACCAAGGCCATGGAGCACTTCACACGCGCATACACTGCGCAGCTGAAGAACTCGGTCTTCTGGCTGCTGAACGGGCTCCAGAAGGACCAGGAAAGGAATATTGACATTTTTATCACCGGCATCTCATCGACACTGATGTCGACGTTCGACTCCGCCCTTCACCTCGACGACCAATTGACCTCCGACCTGAGTCGCGAACTCGAGAACGGCCGCCTCGTCCGGCTCATGACGAAGCTGAACTTTATCAACGAGCGACCCGAATACGAGCACGATCGTCAATGGTCAGAGAACGGCGAGCGGTACTTCTTGAAGATCTTCCGCGATTACGTCTTCCACCAGGTTGACGCGCAGGGCGATCCAGTCGTTGACCTGGGCCATGTGATCATGTGCCTGAATAAACTGGACGCAGGCACCGACGAAAAAATCACCTTGATCAGCCGCGACGAGCAGAGTTGCTTCGTGGTCAGCTATAAGGAGCTGAAGAAAGCTCTGGAATCGTCTTTCCAGGCGCTGCTGAAGCCTTCGGCCACTAGGAGGCTGCATTGAGTAGTCTGACAGGACTTGACACTATGCATCTGCTGCATACATAACTCCAATATGGTATGTGATGAGTGTCATCAACTCGCGCTGGCCTATTCTTAAATGACAGATGGATGGATGGGAGGGTGGATATTCTTGGATTGAAATCATGGTGGAGGGAATATGTTTCCTATGTTCCAGCGAGGATCTGATATGTCTACATTGACTATTTTTACTGCCGATGATACTTATCCTTAACGCCTACTTCAGTATTGATGTGATGGCTGGACGATGGATCAAGGCAGGTTTATACAGCAGTGACGAAGAAGAATATTAAGACAGATACGCCATAGCTAGAAATGTATGAGATTGAAGTTCACTTGCAGCTTATTCCAGTATAGTATCATCAGTGCAGTGTAACAAGCACAATAACACTAAAACACCAAAAGGTAATCAAATTACCCCTACCACCGTCCCTATCTACAAAACCGATAGATACTAAGTATCTCCCTCACAAAACACAATAATTCAATCATCCACCATGACCCAACCAACCTTCCACCCTCTCCCTCACCTCCTCCACCCCCATCAAATACCCACCACCATCCCCTCTCTCCCTCGCATCAACCACATCCTCCTCCTCCCCATCTCCTCTCCTCGGCGGGACCAACACCCTCCCCCCACCTAAAACAAACATACTCCCCTCCGCAGTCAACAACTCCTCCCCCGCCTTGACACCCTGATACCCATTTATTACCTGGAGGAGAAGTGGGTACGCGCTGTGACATTTCGCATCGATGGAAACCCTCCCCGTCTTGCCTTCATCATCATCATCATCATCATCATCATCATCATCATCATCAATATCAGTACGTGAATGAGATCTGTGTAACAAACTCTCCATCTCTATATGAAACATGGAGTTATCCCCCGGTGGGAGGGGGAGTATATCACCGTGTTTGGTATACAGGTGGTCTGAGTAGAGCGTCTCGCCGAGAACAATGTGGTATTTTATGATGGCGGAGAGGTATTTTTCCCCCTCGGGGGAAAAGAGGAAGGTGAGGGCTTCGGGGGTGAATGTTGCCACGAAGGAGGGGTTGGGGGGGAGGAGGAGGAGGGTTAGACTATTTCTTTTTCCTCTTCCTCCGTCTTCTTCTTCTTGACTGTGTTGTGGTTGTGGTTGTGTTTGGTAATCGTCTTGGATGGTTAGGGCTTTGTTGGGGTTCTTGCTTCTGCTTCTGCTGGTGATGGTAATGGTATTGGTATTTGTATCGGAGCTGGTGGTAAGTACCCTATCCAGACCAGTTCTGTACAATGCTAGCGTAAAGGTGCTGAACTCGGAAGGGAGGGAGTTAAGTATGGTGAGGGTAGAAAGAGGAGGCATAAGAACCGAGTCGATGTGGTAGAGGACTCCATTGGAGGCGTGTTTATCCAGGGAGATGATGCGGCTGTGGAAGTTGAGCATTAGGTCGCGGAGTAGGATTGGATGGACGGTGATGCGTTGGGGGAGGGTACTATGTTCAGTATGGATGTAGGTCGGGACGGTGGGTGATTGGAAAAGTTTGTCGATGGGATAGGAGCCCTTTACGGTGTGGTAGGTGAGGATGTGGTGGATGCGGGCGTGGGTGTCCTCATTATTGTTGGTATTATGTTCATGGTGGTATTGGTGGTGGAGTTTGCGGATGGCTTCGTCGGTAGGAGCGAAGAAGGTAAGGTTGTTCGAGGTGGTACTGTTGAGCAGGGTCGTAAGATGATAGTCGTTGCGGATGAAGTGAGCGATGATGGAAGTATCCGGGTTGGAGAGGATGAGGTCGTAGAGGGTCTTATTGGATGCGGGGTGGCGGAGATATGGGGGTGGAGTGGGATGGCGGAAGGGCGGAGCGAGTTCGGAGACGTGCTGGGCGTAGAGATGAGGTGAATCACTGGGGTTGTAGTTAAGGTAGTTGTTCACGATGGTGGGCCAGATGTCGGTTGTGAGGTGGTCGAGGGCTGTTGCGAGGGTGGTGGTTATGCCATTGATTAGGTCGGGGTTTATATTCTCGTCGGCGATGGTGAAACTACCATCATCATCCTCGGGGAGGGGATTATGGTGGAATGGGAAGACGAGGGCGGTGGTGAAGGGCAAGGCCACAAAGGCCCAAAGGGGAATTTTCATTATAGATGGCCAGGTTATGGAGATGGAGAAGATATTGATGGGGTCTGTTGCAGACAATGCTGCTCGTTGTGATGCGTTGCAGGGATCAGTTAATTTCTATCTAGACGAGGGCAGGCCAGCTGGGTCTAGACCCCTCTGCCGGGCTGAGCCTAATGCTCTGTAACATCATGAGGGAGATACAAATATTATTATGGTGAAACGCACTAACTTTAACATCGGGAAGTTACAGCATCATACACGGCAGCATATGGGAGGAATCGACAGTCTGTTCATGACGACAGAGGATGATGTCATGACCACACACAGGGCGGAAAGTAAGCTGATTGTAGGCAGTTAAGTGCCCGCCATTACTATGTAGTATATTCTGGTATTGTGCTATGCATGGCTTCATGCAGGTACAATTCAACGCTCAGGGCGCACATAATACATTTCATCATCTGCCTTCGTAGGGTGTGTATAGTAAGATTCCGTCCACCGTCCGTGGTGGACGGCAACATCATGAAAGACGCAGACCCATCGACCACATCCAGCAGGACGTGAGGCGGACGAGTGCTGCAACCATTGTCGTCAATTGTGCGGGGCATGCACATGGCTGGTCACTCCAAGGAAACACCGCATCAGGCACCAACAAACCGCCAAGTTGCTCTGATATCGGCCTCAGAGCACGTGATTACTCTTCGGGTTGGACGAAGGGGTTGGCAATCTCCTCGCTGCCGTCGGCGGGCGAGATCAGGACGATGATGGTGCCACGGGCCACGACGAGACCCAGCGAGCGAGTGTTCTCATTGCCCTCGTCATCTGGGAGGGTCAGTAGGGAGTAGTAGTGGGGAGATTGCAGGGAGCTTACCGCGCATGGATTCCTTGACATCGTCCAGGACCAGGTTCATGAGCTGGTCGTATCCCTTGAGCAGACCAACAACTGGACATGATTATTAGCCAAAGCATTGTAAAGTAACAGTAGGGTGGGTCTTACCCTCACGACCGCCATTGAACTTGACGCGCACCTCCTTGTCCATGTACTTGTTCAGATCGAGGATGTTTTCTTTCTTGGGCTTCTCCTGCTGCTGCTGCTGCTGAGCACCGCCACCAGCACCGCCACCTCTGTGGGCGCCACGACCGCCAGACCGCTCATAGCCTCCGCCGCGGCCGCGACCACCTCCACGGAACGAGCCTCTTTCGGACATGGCTTGGCTGGGAGGGAGTGTTTAAGTTGGGAGGGGGGGGAAAGCACTTAGTAGTAGATTATGTGTGAAAGGGTGGGTTTGGGCCAATTAGGAAGGGGAGTGGATTAGATAATGCAGTGTCGGGTAAAGAAAATGAGGGGAAGGAGGGGAAATGCAGAGATGAACCAGCTAGTAGTCAATTGATGGGCAAAACAAGGGAAAACGGAATGGACTGGCCGGCAGCTCCCTGTCAATGGCACACCGGTGTGGACGAAAATGCCAAATTGGGCCCGACGGGAATTTCACGGGGCGGAGGAAGTTCGTCAAGCCGTTGGAAGGAAACTTTTGACTATGAGGGATTTTCAGCTGTCGCAGCAGCAGCAGCAGCAGCAGCAGCAGCAGCAGCAACAAGCAAAACAACCGTGAATCACGAGGTTGAGCCAGTCACGGGACCTGTGGACGCTGGGAGGAGATCGAAAAACTCTCTTGAACTTCCTTGACAATTAATGACGGTAATAATACACAGCATCTGTCATATTTCTGATAATGACAGTACCTGATCACCGGCCCGGGTTAGCGCGTATCGTGGGAGGGGGGGCTGGAACCCGGCCAGTGTCGGACACACGCGCCCATCACAGCCCGGCCTTTTGCTGGTCCAGTTTGATGAAAGGTTTTTTAGGCAACCACCTTCATCCGCTTGATCCTATAGAATGTCTCACACTGAGAAGAAGGGGAAACTTTCCCATCAGCTACTATGCAAATCCAAACAATGAGTCGTGTATAAAAACTAATGGGAGAGTATGAAACCGAAGCTCCCTGATTGACTGGCACCGGTTCAGCACGGGCGGAGCGCGACCCCCGTCCGAAAGGATGAGCTGGTCCAGGCCGGGTTCCGAGCGGCCTCCCTGGTGCACAATCACGAAACCCATGACGCCAGCCAAAGCGATACCCATTGGATAAGTTCCGGAAGGAAACGGAGCACCAGCATCAAAGCAACTTCCACCTGGCCGCCAAAAGACAACGTGTCAGATATTCGTCCTCCTCCTCCTGCTTTACTTGTCTGTCTGTCCCTGGAGTCCGCCGCAAGGGGGATTGCAACCCCAGACACATACATACATACATACGCTTGGAATCGGAACCATGTCAATGCTGATGATAAGGGGAGTAGGGGAGAGGGGAGAGGGGAATTGTCGGAGATGTAACATCGGGGTCAGTTAGTGTCTTCGTATACTCGCTAGTTTCTGCCATACATACATTCATTGTTGGTGTCTATTTACTCAAAACAAGGGCCCCCAATAACCGGCCCTACTGGAGAGTTGTCGGTTCGAATGCCCCGGCCTGGACTGCCTTGATAACGGCCGCATGGGCGGCGTATTAACGTATGGTTATGACATGTTATGTATGTTAAATGACCAGCGGAAGAGCCCGGCGGGACTCCGCCCTACCTTAGGTAAGCGATAACCGGTCAACTCGTCAATTCCGAGAGGAGTGGAAGTTGGTTGTTGTGTTCAATGTTAGCCATCATAAGTCAATGAAGAGACTGCTCCAGTCTATGGTCCATGGAAGGGGTTTGTCCAATCTAGATAAAGACTCGGATCACGCAGGAACTCAGCGGGGATACAAGACAGACAGAAGAAAGAACATCCCTATCGGTCAGGCGCGATCAGGCTACCATTTGTTTTGCGGAAGATCGCCATCACCCACTTGCAGGCCTTTTAGCTCGGTCCACTCGGCATCTCCAGTAGGTAACTTACTTACTATCTTGTCCGTCAGTCACTCCCTCTCCCAGTCCTTTCATTAGTTCCCTATCAATCCCTTCCCATCCTCTCGCCCGTTCCGCCATCCGCAGCGTCACCAGCATCCATTCGGCGGTATCATTGGCCATCACTTCCACCATCCCGTCCCTGCAATCGATTAGTGTTGTTGTTGCTGCTGCTGCTGCTGGTTGGGACATTCTTTTTTGCTGGTGTTGCTACCGCTAGTAGTACTTAGTTTGTTCGTTGTTAGTAAATAGAAATAGATATCGTCCCATCCAGTCCTTATCCTGCGCCTTTTTTATCATTCATTACTTTACTAGTTAGAAGCTAACCTGGTCAACGGCTTCCCCCAACCCTCTTCCTCCCGGCCGTAACTCCGTCCGCCTTTGCCTGTCGGTTCGTCTTCCTTCTAACTTTCCTTCTCTTGCCTCTCTCTCCCCTCCCCATCTTTTCCTCTTCCTCCCTCCCTCCCTCCTCTCTCCTCTCCTCCTCTCCGGTTCCTATCTTCTCTCCTCTCCATCCTTCTCTCACTCACTCTTCCTCTTCTCCTCTTCCTCCTCCCCCCTTCCCCTTCCACTCCCTCTTCCTTGTCCGACTTCTTCCCTTCTCTACTCTTTCTTCTCTGGGTACTCTTCCTCCCCCACATTTTCTTCCCTTCCCGACACTGGATCCTCCCCCCTCCCCCAATTTTCCCAAGTTTTTTTTATCCGTTGGGGTCGCCGATTACCTAACTCGAACGCAGCACGCGCTGCCCAGTGGCTGAACCTGAACCCGCACTCTGGAGCCTGATGCTCCGCCATCGGCAGCCCGTCTTTCGCCAGTATTCTCATTACTCATTTCCTCTATAAACCCTTTTTTCCTCTCTGGGTTCCTCCCATTTATCCCTCCCCCCTCCCTGCCCCGTATTTTCCGCGACTCTTCGCTTTGTCGCAATCCACCCGGATTTCCCTACCTCACTTCCTCCTTGGAGTCGCCTACTACCTCCGGCATCACCATGGAGTCTAGAACCGCGACGGCTGAGCCGTCCAGTAAACGACCGCGCTCACCTTCCGGCGATTTCCCTCCTATCGCGTCCAAGGTTCCCAAAACCCATTCGAATCACCTGCAGATCAACTACCTCGCCCGCCAATACCCGGATAACCTTCCTCTCGTCTCCGTCGATGATACCATGCCCGCCATTGTGCATCTCATTGGCGAGTACGACGGCGTCTTACATCGTCACGAAAGCATCGCCGGGAATCTGGGCGCTTGTCCGCTGGGGCCCATCCTGATCAAGCGCTTTGAGCGCTTGTTCGATGGACCGCCTCGCGTGCTCAAGTCGCATGGCAAGGACTCCCCCAACGTGACCTGGCTGGATGTGGTCGAGTTTGCCAAGAACAAGCCCGAGCAGTTCAACCTGGAAAAATCGCGCAACGGGGTGCGAGTGTGTCAATTCTACACCAAGCAGTGTCGGGTGGAGATCAGCGAGGAGGATTTTGTGTTGATCGCCTCGGGGATGCCCCAGAAGATGATCCCCCCGCAGCCGATCATTGAGGATGAGGAGAAGGAATTGGGCGCATTGGAGATTCTGGAGAAGAACCTTCAGCAGATCATCCAGATGGCCGACCAGGGTATGTCTGACATGGATATCTTCTACAAGCTAAACTGACCATTGTTGCTAGTGTCTGCCCGGGCCCGACAACTGAATCACCGTCTGAAGAACCGCCGGACGGCTATCGTCACCCGTCGGGAGAACGACATGTCGCTCCACTCGCAGCGACAGCAGCAACAACATCGTTCCATCAGCCCTGCGTGGCGCGATGCCAATGGCCATGCTCAGAACCCGAATGGTAGCACCCCTGCCAGCGCCCAGTCTCCCTCCACTGGTTTTGTTGCCGTGAATGCCGGCCGGCCCGGCGGCGGAGAAGCCACTGTAGAGGAGAATGCGCTGTCGTCGCAGTTTATGTTTTCGCATTCCAATACGGACAATGTTACTATCATTAACGGCACCTCTATCAAAGGCGCCTCGCCGACGACCCGCGCCGAGCTCATGAAGAAGTTCTTTACTACCCAGGATCGCCAGGCGCGCAGCTATGAAGAGGGCCCCGGCTCCAGTAGTCGGCAGTCGTCCCGGCCGCGGCCGCGAGCGTCGGATGCGGCGGACTACAACTTGTACACTCCGGCACCCGCTACGGTTGCCATTCCCAATACACCCTCCTCGCTTCTGCCACCGCCCAAGTCCCATCACCATGAAAAGGATGACGGCGGCCCGCACAAGATGGAGATGGTGGCGCGCATGGAAGAACTCTCACGGGGCGAGCGCATCCTGCCGCCCTGCGATCGGTGTCGCCGGCTACACATGGATTGTTTGAAGAACCTGACTGCCTGCATGGGGTGCACCAAGAAGCATGCCAAGTGTTCCTGGAAGGACGTCAAGGAGGACGAGCTGCGCGAGACACGGGTCGACCGTACGTCCCGGGAACGAGCGGAGGAGCCGCCTTCGTCCAAGGAGGCGTCTTCGACCCATCCACTGCCTACTCCCGTGGCAGCACCACCGTCGACGGCGGCCCCAACACCGGTGTCTGGACCGATGTTGCCCGAGACGGAGCAGCGACCTCGTGAGCGCGAGGTGCCGTCCGAGTACAGCGTGCGCCGCGAGTCCGCGCCGACAGGAGGACCGGTTGCGGGGATGGCGCTAGCCAAGGAGATGTCCCCGCGGCGGGCCATGAGCGAGATGCATGGGAGCAGCGGGATGAGCCATGAGCGACGAGTCAGCCTGCATCGGCACGCGGAGGCGGACGATGACGACCCGGATGCCAACCAGCGGCTGATGCAGGCCATTCTGGATACGGTGGACCACCACACGCGGGTGGCGGCGGCGGTGAAGGAGGGACATGAAGTGAGCAACGAGCGGGAGCGGGAGCGCGAGCAGGAACGAGAACGAGAGCGGGAGCGGAAGTTGGTGCGGGCATAGCTTGACGACCCGACTTTGTTTGGACATTATGGATTGGATATGGGTACTTGGACAGGGAGTTGTAATTAGGTTTTTGATTGAGCGAGTTAGCGGATATCCCGGTCTGAATTCTGGATGAAATGATGGATTGGATGGATTGGATATTGGATATTGGATATTGGATATTGGATAGCATGGATGGGCATAGCATAATGTGACTGCATGCATACAGTGTACAGAACCAGGGAATAATTGTGTCGGAGTTTGTCATTCCCGCCGCGGCACCAACTGCCGATGGGCGATCCGCACCCCGCATACATGACTGAACAGTCAACAGGCACTCCCACTGAATACAATGACTATATGCAAAGAGAGCAACTCAATACATGCACCCCACAGATCGTCCGCCAATCCCTCGATCTA